TCAACTATTCCTGGCATGTTCATCTTAAACCATGAAGCCTCAATATCCATCGAGACACCTGATTTGACACCTTTTATCGGTGCCTTACTCCGATAACCATAACTTTCCACTTCATGTGTCGATAATTTGCAGAGCCACAGTGTATTCTGATTTTGTTCTTTTAACACATGAAATCAACATCAAACCACTCCTGGTCACTCTGACTGACTCCACTTCTCCCAATGCATCCTTCAAATCAAATCAAATCAAATCAAATTTTATTGGTCACAAGCGCCGAATACAACAGGTGCAGACATTACAGTGAAATGCTTACTTACAGCCCTTAACCAACAGTGCATTTATTTTTAACACTATTTTTTCACCATCTTTGTGACCGCAAACAGGTTTCCTAAAAAACATCCTTGCTCATGAATAGCACTCCAACACGGAATGAGGCGTTATCATACAGATGCTTATCTTGATTTCCAACTTTAGCCCTTTTAACTCCATTCTTAGATGTTACAGCATTCCACTAATTTCCTCTATCTTCACTCGCGCCAACAGAATCAAATAGCACTTCTGCTTCCGCCATGTCTCCTATCTGAGTAGAATCTCCTTCCATTTGAAAAAAACATAGTAAAGTGCTCACTGTGAATTTGTGATTAACTAACAACAAAACTGATCCTTCAATACTGGGGGAGTGAGTCAATTCCCCATGCATCCCTACCTGTTTGCCTGTGATCTTGTACAGCTGACCCACCACCTGACCCATAACCCATGTGAGACTGCTCTCTAGTGGTGAGAAGTGACAGCCCAAACAGACACAACTAGACAACATACACCAGGGATCATCAACTAGATCAGGGGTGTCAAACGTACGGCCCGCGGGCCGGATCAGGCCCGCAAACGGGTTTAATCCGGCCCGCGAGATGATTTTGAAAAAAACTAATTTAAGTATAAAAATGCGCTGCAATTTTTCAATAAAATAAACTGCTGTTCCAATTGCGTCCACTGGATGGATCCAAACTGTTAATTTCATCCGATCCAGAAGCCTGAATCACCGTCAGTTTGACAGCCTTCTCAGAGAGAAAGACCACATCTATGGCCTGCCATACCACACTGAGGTAAGATGGTTAAGCCGAGGTGCTGTGCTGAGGCGTTTCTTTGATTTACGAGAAGAAATTGAACAGTTCATGGAAGAAAAGGGCAAACCAGTGTTAGAATTTCATTCCGCAGAATGGATGCCGGACCTTGCATTTATGGTGGATGTTACAGAGCACCTGAATAACTTGAACAAACAGCTGCAAGGGCGCAACAAAGTTGTCACGCAGTATTATGACAGCATACGTTCTTTCAAGTTGAAGCTGTCATTGTGGGAGACGCAACTTGCCGGTGGTGATGCAGCTCACTTCCCCTGTCTGAAAAATGTGTGCGCGACCCAACATGAAGCGGTTCAAAGATAAAATAACGGGACTGTTACGGGAGTTTGAGCAACGCTTTCAGATTTATGTTTATATGTTTTTATGTTGATGTGCTATTGTTTTTAATTGATTTTATTTTATTTAACCTATTCTTGACTCTGTGGTTCTTGCACTTGTTTGGGGAACAGGATTTCATTATTTTTATCTACATTTCTGCCTGAGAAATGACACCCTGATATAGTTCTGTGATTTGTGATATACTTCTGTGAATCACTGAGGCATTGTGTGTTTGTGTGTTCTTTGTCCTCAGAACTTTCAAATAACTTGAGGTGTTTTATGATTAATAGTAATGTTGTGCTTTTGGACACTGTCCTCAGGCTCCAGCTTTATGTTTAAATGTTTTTATGTTGATGTGCTATTGTTTTTAATTGATTTAATTTTATTTGTATATTTAACCTATTCTTGACTCTGTGGTTCTTGCACTTGTTTGGGGAACAGGATTTCATTATTTTTATCTACATTTCTGCCTGACAAATGACACCCTGATATAGTTCAGTGATCTGTGAAACAGTTCTGTTAATCACTGAGGCATTGTGTGTTTGTGTGTTCTTTTTCTTTAGAATTTTCAAATAAACTTGACGTGTTTTATGATTAATAGTGATGTTGTGCTTGTACTATTTTGGAAACACTGTCCTCAGGCTCTAGCTTTATGTTGTATGTTGATCGTATTAAAACAAAGAAAACAATCTGAAGTTGTTGTTTTTAAGTTATATATACCATGATTTTTCCGGTCCGGCCCACTTGGGAATAGATTTTCCTCCATGTGGCCCCTGAGCTAAAATGAGTTTGACACCCCTGGTCTATAGCCTACACCTTATCTGGCATGGTAAATAAACGGTGCATGTTGCCATAACACATTATTCAATAGGCCTGCAAATTCAAGCAATTATTACAATCTAAAAGTAAATACCTACAGTTAAATACCCTGTTATTAATGTAGCGAAGTAGGCTGTTATTTTATATGTTCATAATTTGTCTTTGATAGGCTATAAGTCATGGCAGTGTCTTCCGACTGTCTGCGACTCGAGAGTCAAGGTACATGGTGGCCTAACCCGCGTGCGTAAATGTTTAGCAAAAGAGGGCGTGCTCATTATAAGTCCAAATGTTTTTTTTCTTTTAATCAAATTCCTAACTACAAGAAGCATCTCTGTGAATGTTATGGGAACATTATTGGAGTTCACAGTTACGCATCAGATTTAGTTTAGCTTATTCATTCGACAATTTTTTAAAACAAGCACACATAAAACTTCAAAAAATCCATACATGCACATTAGTAAAATAATCGAGGATAACACAATAAAGTCTGGGTCTTATTTCCATTGTGGTCCTCTTTATCATTCATACATCCGTCAAACACTGCATTAAAGACGATGCAAAATATTACCTCTTGAAAGCCACTAACTCATAGCATAGTTGTGTTGGAAATGCTGACATTTTTCACAAAGACTGAGATTTATTTTATTTTTTCGCATGACTGCAGCATCAACGCATTTAGCTCAATCACCATGCCCCCTTTGCCTTTACCATGACGACAAAATGCTCCCGTAGACCTATTTTCAGTTTTACTTTTCAGTTTTAGCCTAAAACATTTGATTGTAATTTAATCAAACCCCTTTGGCGATTTCCAGACATATGTTCAGACTGACATGTTCAGCAATGTCTGAATTGTCATGCACCCATCTCAGTTTCCATGAGCTTGGTGGTCTAGAAACCATAATGGTAAACAGGTAGTTTGTGTAGGCGCCGAGTCTAGCAATTTTTTCCTCGCTCGGTTGCAACGTCGCTTGCGCCCTTTGTGATTAGATCAAGGCAAGCAACGTTAGAATAAATGGCAGGAGTTTACGAACACAAGCATAAACACGGCTGAATATACTGTCACTCTGGCCATTCGATCTGTATGTAGCTCTTAGTCTTTTGGAATAATAGGCTAGGCCTATTCAAAACAATGTTGTTTTTCCCCCACTTGAATATGAACTATTTAGTGTGATCAAATTAAACATTGCAATTGTTGTTTTGTTATATAAGACAAAAATAAGCATTATGAAACACGTAACTGTCAGTATTTGAATGTAGGCTATCTAATGTTTCTCTTAACCTTTTTGTTCTACTTTTTTCTTTATTCCCTTCTGTAAGTAAAACAGCCTATAATGCAAGTTTGGCATGAGCTTTGGCTTGGAATCCGTCATTAGTTGCATGCAGAGCCATAAATAAAGATAATTATATTAAGTTCAGATAATTAAGCAATGTTAACGATTATAATAAAACATTATTACTATTATTATTATTATTATTATTATTATTATTATTATTTAACAATACTATATAGGCATGACGTTTTTAGTGATGCATTGTTTAATAACGATGATTATCGATAAGATAAAAAATGATAATGATAAAATAGTCTACCATAGCCTAATATTAATATTGAATTAAGCCAATGTCAAATAAAATTCAGAAAAGGTGGTCTTGGCCTACACAACTTTACAGAAAACTAGGTCTATAATATTTTCTTACAGAGTGAATTATGTTAAACGCCTTTGTTCAAAATGATGTATTTTCATGTGGGGTTATAGATAGGTCGGTGCAATCTTCTCAACATCGCATTCAGTCGAAAAACATGTTTTGTTGTTATCTTTGCTGGAATATGACCTATATTTTCTTGCTCACAGTTTGTTATAACGCAGGACTTTTCATGTGTTCATTTCCGGTGAGATGTTGTAACGGCGGTCTCGCATTTTGAGATGTAGGCTAGGCCTATGGGCAAGAAATCTTCATCTCGTAAAGGTGGCTCAACGGACTCAAAGAGATGATGCCCTTCAAATTTCGTGAAACTAAAATGCCAGGCACCGTGCTACTTCTGCTGTGCTGGAGCTATGTCTTGAAAGGCAAGTATGACGCTATATTCTGCACACGTTGACAATGTGTCGATAATTAATTTAGAAAATGTACATTCAGCGCTAACTCATGATGACAGTGAGGGCTTTAGACTGTGTTTCATCATTACTCTGAATAGGCCAACATTAATTTATTTCAAGACATATCCACAGTATTCTAGTAGGCCTTAAGTTATAACTTTTTCATAAACTTACTTGTATGTGAGATGAAACAGTGATCTGAAATACAGTATGTGATTACATCTATAACCTGGCTATGTAGTTTTGTTCATGTTATAATCAAGCAATTTCTAGATAATTAACATCTTAGGTTAGACAAAGCAGGCCTATAAGATCCAATTTCGAAATATTTTTACAAGTGGACAGAGATTAAGCTTTTTTCGCGGCAGGTGATGTAGCTCAGTTGGTAGAGCATGGCGTTTGCAACGCCAGGGTTGTGGGTTCGATAAAATAATGTATGCACTAACTGTAAGTCGCTCTGGATAAGAGCGTCTGCTAAATGACTAAAATGTAAATGTTGTGAATGTATCCATGCTTGGTATATTCATGTTCAGAAAAACCAACATTTGAAAATGCACCAAACATGCTAAACAGGAATGAGATGAAATGTGTGTTATATTCTTGTTATTCCTAATTCTGTTTTTAGCTACACAAACATCAATTATCACCCAGACACCTGGGGTGGTGATGGTGAAGGCTGGTGATACAGTGACCTTGAAATGCCATTTGAGTGAGCTTATGATCTACTGCTTCTCTGTGAGTTGGACAAAAGTGGACCCCAGGACTGGAACACAGTGCTTGAGTACAAACTTAAAGGTTGATAACATTTCAGATGAAGGGAATTGGGACAAACAATGTTCTGCTACAATCACCAATGCAAAAGTGAGCGACTCTGGCATGTACTACTGTTTGGCGGTCCACTCCCAAATGGTGCACACTGGCAATGGTTCTAAAGTTATTATTTTGGCAGGTAATTTAATGTCTTGTATGTTCATATTTATTCACAAAGCTGACTAAAACAGAAAAATATATTGTGCTAAAAAACGAAAATGTATATAACAAAATATAATGATATAAACCTTTAAAAAATAAACACAAAACTGATTGTTAAATCTAAATTAAACTATATATATATATATATATATATATATATATATATATATATATATATATATATATATGTGTGCAAAGCTGTCACCAAGGCAAAGAGTGGCTATTTGAAGAATGTCAAATATAAAATATATTTGGATTTGTTGAACACTTCTTTGGTTACTACATGATTATTTGTGTTATTTCATAGTTTTGATGTCTTCACTGTTATTCTACAATGTAGAAAATAGTAAAAATAAAGGAAAACCCTTGAATCAGTAGGTGTCCAAACTTTTGACTGGTAGTATATATATATTTCTTTGATCATAAATCCAGTCATTGTTTTATTTAATTTTAAATAACCACTTTACCAGGAAGATAACCAAGTTGGTAATTCTTAATAATGTAATTGTTTAAAATTATGACCATTTTGTCCTTAGAAAGAGTGAGGGAAGGGAACAGTGCTGAAGCCCCAACCATCCAAATCGTCTCTTCGCCAGAGGTTGACGGCTTCTTCATCCCTCTCCTGTGTTTGGTGTTGGAAGTGGTCCCGTCTCAGGTCCGTGTGTTCTGGCTCATAGACGGGAGAGAAGAGAGTGGACTCACTGACTCCACCTGGACAAACAACAGTGATTCAGCCACAGAGTTCACTAGGAACCAGATTCTGGTCCAGGCAGAGGAGTGGGACAGACGAGCAGAGTTTACATGTGTGGTGGAGTTTGAGGGGCAAAATATCACCAAAACACTGCTGCAGCGCAATGGTAATTGCATTAGACCCAGATTTACTAAGCGTTTGCACCTGTTCTTCCAGTAAGGGATTTAACACTTTAAACAAAGATAAAACATTAACCTATCTTTATTTAGACTTCTTTGTCTTTATTTTCACCATAGATTCCAATGCCATGTGCACAATGCTGATGTATGGGACCTCTGCAGCTGCTCTCCTCACCATAATAGTTGCCGTCACTATCGCTGTGTGTCTGCACCGTGGTAATATCAAATCAATCAATAATGGGCCAATACTGTATGAAACAAACAACACATTATCTTGTGGAAGACAATTTATACCATTGTACTCAGCAAAGGATGTTATGACCATTTGTAATTTAGGGGACACATGCCCCATCAATTTGATACATTTGTAGGATATAAATGTACAAGATGTAGTCTTTTTATAACTTACTAGTGCCCCCTTGTGATGCCTATGGTCATTGGTAGTCGTGTAGGTAAGCCAGTTCAGTGATCAGACCTATATGGGTAAAGGTTTTAGTTTTTTTACACCAAAAAATAGGTGGCCAAATGTGGGAGTAAAGACTTTATTCCATTAGGCTGTTTTCTGAGCAAATGGAATAAAACAAGGATTTCGTAGGCCTATATTTTCTCTTGCACAGGAGTGTTGAGAATTGAAATCTGTTTAATTCTTCCCTTTGTTCGTCTATCCCCTCTTGCATACAAGTCAGGCTCTCTGTAGTGGTTATAGAGACCTTTATGGCAAGTGTCTGCTACGTTTAGACAGTTTATTTCAACATTGATAAAGAATAACTAAGTAGAAAAATCGGAGAAACCGAGTAGTACCAGCCACAGTCACGAATTACATTGGTTATCTTGATTCACTCTACACACGAATGTTAGAAATAAGAATGTCAGAAATCTGTAATTGTAGTAGTTCTTGCTTAGTTGTACTTACAGTTAGTGAGTGCATACATTTTCCATACTGGCCCCCCGTGGGATATTAAATGTGGTATTTCTATTGCTTTTTCCTATAGGGCATCCCGTGTTTATTAATGCAGATGGAAGGTTTGTGTCTGACATTCAATCTAAAATTGGATTATAGAAAAGCCTGTGATTGCTTGAGTGTGAAATACTCTGTTTTAATTTCAGACAAAGAGGCACATGCACTGAGAACAGACAGGATCAATCTGGTAAAAAAAAAAAATACATTGTTAAATTGTTAGGATTGATACAATACAACAGCCGTCTATTTTAGAAGGATTTTAAGATGGCGTTTATCAACTTGGAGGTATTTAATGGCGGAAATGTTTTAGCATTTTCATTATCTCTTTAACTATTCAGTTGAAATAGATTGAATGAATGAGCTTTAATTAAATATAATTTGTTCCCCAAATTGTGAATTAGGTATTTTGACATTTTATAGGGGACTATGTTTTACATTTCAGCCTGAGAGATGAGATCAAAATAAATCATAGAGAAATACATTGTGTACCATTGTAGCACTTTCAGACACCATTAGTTTTCACAGCATCTCTTGATGAAGTATGCAGGGTTGGTTGATTGAAGGATTCCAAGTATTTTTGAAGTAGGCTGTCAGGGGATGTCATGGCTGCATTGGTATTTATGTTCTGACTTGTGACGTTTGCAGGGAGACGTGGAGAAGCAAGAAAGGCAGTTAGATCATCCGTCTCGGTAAGGAGCCATTGTATTTGGGTTAAACTATAATTTTTGGTCGCGCTAAATGTTTTTTATGTTGCGTAATTTTATAATCCATTGCAATGCTATCAGATTTTCTTAGGTAGTAAAGGTGGTGGAATAAATAGTTATTCTCCATTTCGGCCCAATTTAACTATCGGGGCTGGTTTACTGGGAATAGATTAAGCCAATAGTCCTTGACTAAAAAACATTTTATATGGAGATTTTCCATTGAACATGGTTTTTAATTCAGAATTAGGCTAATATTTATTTCTGTAAATGGGCCTATAGTGTATTAATGTTGAAAAAACACGAAAGTTATGATCCGAACATACTGCTCTGAAATGTCTTGTACTGGTGTATTACTGGTTAAGTACAGTGTAATTACAGTACTTGTTTGTGTAAATACACATTGACATTTGTATATGGATTATATTTGTAAACAAACTCAAATGAATTGAGGCTAATCTACCCTCATCCCTAGAATGATTGTTTTAGATTACTCAATTATCTCCATTGTGAATGTATTGATTGAGATTGACTGACGTGATATAATTTCTATAGTATGAATAGTCACAAATGAGAGCCTGGTTTACATTTGCAGTATTGCTGCCCCAATTCAGTCCTCATAAAGTATTAAAGCATTTTTGTATACTTGAATATAAAGCAACAACTATACCTATTTCTGAACCCTTGAGAATTAACTCCCTGGTGTTGATCGTTCCACAGGAGGTCCAGTATGCGACTTTGGACCATATACATTTTGGGAGACTCACAAATACAGTTCTCCAATCAGATTTTGACAAAGAAATTGCATAAGAGTTCCATGTATTTGTTCATGATGTAGATGCTTATAAACTGCCACTGATAAAAAAAATAGATTATTATGTATGTATTTGTGTATAAAGCAAGAGCCAGTGTCCTCAATTGCAAAGTGCCCCAGAGCCAATGGTGCGGCACAGAGCTCTTTCTTTTATATTGGAATTCAACTGTGGAATAGCCTTCCATTAGCCATTAAGCTGGCCCAGTCCAAAAAGGTTTTCAGAGGTCAGGTTAGAGCCCTTCCATCAGAAAAAGTGTACAGGCCTACATAGGAAAATGACTGAAATAGTCTTGAATTTTGTATTGATTATGTATTTATTATGGTGGAGGCTAGTTAGCTGCCTATCATAGGCCCATGTCACAGGAGGTTGGTGACACCTTAATTGGGGAGGATGGGCTCGTGGTATTGGCTGGAGTGGAATTAATGAAATGGTATCAAATACATCAAACACATTGTTTGATGCCATTCCATTTGATCCTATGTGTTCTTACGCTATTGTGTGTCATCCTCTGGGATTCTTTGTACTTTTAAAACTGCAAGAATTGTATTATCCAAAATAAAATCAATCAATATGACTTGTAAATTGATGTCTTTTGTTTTTCTTTGATTTCATTTTATTACCTCTTTCATTACCTCTTATCTAATTTACCATTTTCCTGGAAGTCTTGGTGCCAACCATGCCTCTGTTTTTGAACAGATATCTAAACTTGGTGGTGTCTGTGCCTATGTTTGTGTTGCTTCACAGTCCCCGCTCTTCCATAAGGTGTATTTCTATCTGTTTTTTAATCTAATTTTACTGCTTGCATCAGTTACTTGATGTGGAATAGAGTTCCATGTAGTCATGGCTCTATGTAGTACTGTGCGCCTCCCATAGCCTGTTCTGGACTTCGGGACTGTGAAGAGACCTCTTGTGGCATGTCTTGTAGGGTATGCATGGGTGTCCGAGCTGTGCGCCAGTAGTTCAAACAGACAGCTCGGTGCACTCCACATGTCAATACCTCTCATAAATACAAGTAGTGATGAAGTCAATCTCTCCTCCACTTTGAGCCAGGAGAGATTGACATGCATATTATTAATGTTAGCTCTCTGTGTACATCCAAGGGCCAGCCGTGCTGCCCTGTTCTGAGCCAATTGCAATTTTCCTAAGTCCCTTTTTATGGCACCTGACCACACGACTGAACAGTAGTCCAGGTGCGACAAAACTAGGGCTGGTAGGACCTGCCTTGTTGATAGTGCTGTTAAGAAGGCAGAGCAGCACTTTATTATGGAGAGACTTCTTCCCAATCTTAGCTACTGTTGTATCAATATGTTTTGACAGTTTACAATCCAGGGTTACTCCAAGCAGTTTAGTCAACTCAACAGTTTAGTCACCACATTATTTATTACAAGATTTTGTTAAAGTTTAGGGTTTAGTGAATGATTTGTCCCAAATACAATGCTTTTAGTTTTAGAAATATTTAGGACTAACTTATTCCTTGCCACCCACTCTGAAACTGATTGCAGCTCTTTGTTAAGTGTTGCAATCATTTCAGTCGCTGTAGTAGTTGTGTCACACCCTGGCTCTGGAGACTCTATATGTTGAGCCAGGGTGTGTAAATTCTATATGTTTATGTTCTGTGTGGGTGTTCTAGTTGTGGTATTTCTATGTTGGCCAGAGTGGCTCCCAATCAGAGGCAACGAGTGTCAGCTGTTGCTGGTTGTCTCTGATTGGGAGCCATATTTAAACAGTCTGTTTCCCTTAGTGTTTGTGGGATCTTGTTTCCGTTTGGTTTGTTTCCGTGTTGGTTGTGTAAACCGTAGGACTGCACGTTTCGTTTGTTGTTTTGTTGTTATATTATCACTAAAGATAATAAAGTTTAAGTATGTTTGCAACTAACGCTGCGCATTGGTCTACTCTCTACGACGATCGTGACAGAAGATCCCACCATACCAGGACCAAGCAGCGTGTCCAGGAGCAGGCAGCCTGGACGTGGGAGCAAATATTGGACGGGCAGGGGTCCTGGACCTGGGAGGAAATCCAGGCCGGGATGGATCGCCGTCCATGGAGTGAGACGGTAGAGGCGCGACGGAGAGAGGAGCAACGGCGTCAACAGTGTCGTCGTCGGACGGACGAGAGGCAACCCCAACATTTTTTTAAGGGGGTGCACATGGCATGGACGACGGGGCTGCTGGAGGCAGATAAGGGGAGAATTCAGAAGGCCACCAGGTTACGGGAGCCATTGGTGAGAAGAGGGAAGGAAGATGTAGAGGCACGGCGAGAGGTACTGAGGTGTATTGCCAGTCCGGTCCGGCCCGTTCCTGATCCCCGTTTAAGGCCAGTGGTGTGTGTTCCCAGTACGGTCCGGCCTACGGTGTGCGTCGCCAGCCCAGCCCGGCCTGTTCCTGCTCCCCGCACCAAGCCTACGGTGTGCGTCGCCAGCCCGGCCCGGCCTGTTCCTGCCACTCGCACCAAGCCTACGGTGCGCGTCGCCAGCCCGGCCCGGCCTGTTCCTGCCACTCGCACCAAGCCTACGGTGCGCGTCGCCAGCCCAGCCCGGCCTGTTCCTGCTCCCCGCACCAAGCCTACGGTGTGCGTCGCCAGCCCGGCCCGGCCTGTTCCTGCCACTCGCACCAAGCCTACGGTGCGCGTCGCCAGCCCAGCCCGGCCTGTTCCTGCTCCCCGCACCAAGCCTACGGTGTGCGTCGCCAGCCCGGCCCGGCCTGTTCCTGCCACTCGCACCAAGCCTACGGTGCGCGTCG